TGAAAAATTGATGGATGTCATTTCTGTTTGTGCTGCATGATCTTTGCTGAAGGTGGTGGATCCTGTGAAGGCATCATATGGCGTGGAGTATCCAGAGTATGCTGTCATCCAGCTCGCTCAGACGACTATGCGTAGCGAACTTGGCAAGATCACACTGGACAAGACTTTTGAAGAAAGGGACACGCTGAACGAGAATATTGTGGTAAGATTAAGACGCCCCATACCCCCAATCTCACCCCACAAGTATCTTACCACAAATCTTGGTCTATCTTACAACCAATCTTGGCCCGCCCTTATGTCTTGGTGCACATTTTCACAAATGTCTCCTCGGTTAACGTTAATATGTGGGTGCTAAGATACTGTGGTAAGGTCTGGAATGAACCCAGCCCCTGCCCCACACATAATCGATGAGGGTGTCTCTGAGGGAAAAGGGAGATGCATGTCTGAACATTGACTAAGAAGGGAGGTGAAGCATGAAGAGAAGTGTGCGAGCAGGTCCGCTCTTGCTAATCCATGCAAGATGCATTTTGCCCCACACGTAACTCTGTGACTAAAGGTCGTGTGTTATGAGGGGAAAGGGAGATGCATGTTTGAACGTTGACTAAGAAGGTAGGTGAAGCATGAAGAGAGGTGTGCGAGCAGGTCTGCTCTTGTTTATCCATGCAAGATGCATTCAATTTATTTTTCCAAACTGTTCTGCAACTTTCCTTCCCCGAGTCCTTTTACAATGGATGTAGTAGGGCGGTCTACCATGATCTTCGGTTCTCATTGCAGTCTCCATCTGGTCCTCCTCCTCCCTCCCCTCATGCCTGGCTCGATTCGAATGTCATTACTGAATCAATCTCTCTCTCTCCCTTTGTCCCTTTCTCTCTCCCTCTCTCCCCCTCTCCCTCTCTATTTGTCTATGTATCTATCCCTCTGTCTATATCCCTGTCTCTTATACACATCTAGATGTGTATAAGAGACAGCTGCAATTGCATTTAAAAGCTTTCACACGTGGGTGAGTAGCTCGATAGGGATATGCCCCGAAGGGTGGTGACAGCCCCCTAGGGAAGGAAAGCTT